TCGAAAAAAAGAAATTAAATGAAACGAATGATATTCAGAAATGTTATATTAAATAGGTGGTGCTCCTGCGGGACCTGCAGGTACTGGAAAAACCGAGACGACAAAGGATTTGGCCAAAGCAGTCGCTATTCAATGCGTTGTATTTAATTGTTCAGAAGGACTTGATTACAGGGTAATCGACAAATATATATCGATTATTTCTTTCGTGACAATTACACGTACAAGTTAGAAAGAAAAATTCAGATGAATTCTACACCTTCGAAATACACGTAAAGAATCGTAGCCGTAAAATTGAAACCTTGAATTTTGAAGATCAAAATTTTTCTTTCTTTTCTTTTGCATTGTATTCTACTCGTCACGAAGGTAAAACTTTTCCAAGGAACCATAGATCGCAACCTAAATAGTTCTCTTGAAAAAATGGCAAAAAAATTTCTTAATCATTTAACACACTGCGTGCTAACAGCGACTTTATGATATTCAACACGTGGAATGTAATGTTTATATTTCGAATAATGTTTTATCATTTTGATTATTTAGACTCGCGTTGATGCTAAAATCATGATAAATCAAATGTTAGTGAAATCTAATATGAAAATTATGTAAAATTTCGTTTGACATCCAGAACCATAAAGTCGCTGTTAGTAGCACGCATGCGTTAAAAAACTTTCTTGCCATTTTCGAGGAGAACTATTAAGTTGCGACCTGTGGTTCCTTGGAAAAACTTCACCTTTGTGATGAGTAGAATACAATGCAAAAAAAAAAAGAAAAATTTTGACCCTGAAATTCAAGGTCAATATGTATTTTTATCAAATCAAAGATGTCTGATAGCCACGGACAAACATCCTTTATTTTTTTTATCAAATAATTAAAATGGTGAGATTGCGCTTCATAGATGATGGGTAGATTCTTTTCCGGCTTGGCAACTTCCGGTGCCTGGTGCTGTTTCGACGAATTTAACAGGATAGATATCGAGGTGCTTTCTGTAATAGCTCAGCAACTAATTACCATCAGAAATGCCAAGATTGCCAGAGCCACTGAGTAAGTTTCCATTTTTCAACTTCTATAAACGCTTAACTAAATCTGTGATGTTTCCACCTTTTGCCTTTTCAGATTCATGTTCGAAGGAAGAATGATCAAATTGGTGATGTCTTGCGCAACTTTCATCACTATGAATCCAGGATATGCTGGCCGCACGGAATTACCAGACAATTTGAAGGCATTGTTCCGAACGATGTCTATGATGGTTCCAGACTACAGTACGTTTTGCAAATTTCTGTCTTGAATCAGAAGCACTTCTCGAACGATGCTCGACGAATCTCTTCCCATAGAACTTATCGCCGAGGTCACACTGTATTCAGAAGGATTCGAGTCGTCGAAACCGTTGTCGCAGAAAATGACTTTAATGTATACACTTTGCAGCGAACAACTTTCCCAACAGGATCATTATGACTTTGGGATGAGGTGATTTTCTTATCCGCGTTATACTCTTGTATATATTGTTCATTAATTGGCAGATTGAAACAGCGGTTTTCTCGTTTTCGAAGGGCTGTGAAAAGCGTGTTGGTGATGGCTGGTAGCCTTAAACGAAACAATCCTGACAAACCAGAGGACGTTGTTTTAATCAGAGCCTTGCGCGAGAGCAATATACCAAAGTTTCTACGCGACGACGCTGAATTGTTCGAAGGCATCGTGGGAGATCTCTTTCCAGGCATCGATATTACCGAGGAAGACTATGGTATTCTAAAGGACACAGCTATTGAAGTAATTAACAACGTTCAAAGTATCTTCCTCCAGTTGTCTCAACATTTATCCATCCATATTCGCTTACAGAGTACAATGAGTTCTGACTAGTGTAACTTAATTATTTATAGATACTGAAAGAAGCCAAGTTACAACCAGAAACTTGCATCTTAAAGAAAGTTACTCAGCTGCACGAATGTTTGCAAGTAAGACACGGGGTGATGTTAGTTGGACCGACTGGTTCAGGGAAAACGACAATTCTTCGAGCAAGTCTTGTGGAACTTTATATATTTTTTTCTGTTATAAACAGTATAATTGCCCAGTATAAGTCGAAATATGTGCATTTCTTCTTTCAGACTCTCGCAAACACTTACAACAGGCTGCATGAAATGGGTGTACCTGGGCCGTGTTATCAGTCGGTTCACATGTATGTAATCAATCCGAAAGCAGTTACGATCGGTGAATTGTACGGAAAAGTAGATATAATGACCAACGAATGGCGCGACGGATTGATCGGTTCTACAGTTCGTCACGCATGTTCTGTTAGTAAGATGTTGCCTAACTCGAGTAAACATAGAGGAGCATAAATCTCACGTGAAATCATCATTGTTTAGTTCACCACGGAGGATCATCAATGGATCGTCTGCGACGGACCGGTGGACGCTGTCTGGATAGAAAACATGAACACTGTTTTAGACGATAATAAAATGTTGTGCCTGGCCAACTCTGAAAGAATCAAATTCACCCCTTACATGCGCATGTTATTCGAAGTTATGGATCTTGCACAAGCCTCTCCTGCTACCGTCAGTCGCTGTGGTTCGAAAAATAATTATTATTTATTCAGTATTTATCCAACTTTTCTATCTACATTTTACGTCTGTCGTTTCAAGGAATGGTATACGTTGATCCTACGGAGTTGAAGTGGATGCCTCAGGTGAAATCGTGGCTGGACACGCTTCCCGATACCGTTAAAAACAAGCATCGATTACAAATTGCCGAACTGTTTGAGAGATATTTCGAAGACGGGCTAACCTTCTGCAGCAAGAGCTGTGTCTCTCCAATCGCACAAGTTGTGTTTCTACCTTGCGTGGAAATTGAATACCAATTTTCTTTCCAACACTGTGTTCGTTCCTCTGTCGTCGACAGGTTGACATCAGTAAAGCATCCATGACTTGCACGATATTGGAATATATTTTAAACGAGCCAGACGCGATAGAGAAAACCACGGAGAAGGCGAGGATTAGAACGTTCTTAACTCAGTCGTTCGTTTTCGCTTCCCTTTGGGCCATCGGTGGCAACGTCGACGACGCGTCTCGCGGCGTGTTCGAGGCTTTCGTGAGGAAGCAATTCGAGGACAACGAAGATGCGTTGTATGATCTCAAAATTATAAATTTTTATATTCGTTTTTATATTCGTTTAGATTCGCCTAATGTTAATGCATCGTTCTCTTCTTTTCACCTGCCAGTTTGCCACCGATAGATTTATGGGAGCTGTACGTAAACGTCCAAGAGCATCGGCTGGACCTTTGGACAGACGTTATGCCAGAATTCGTGTACGATAGCGGAATGCCATTTTTCGACATCCTCGTGCCAACCATCGACACTGTACGATTTGGTTATCTAATGAAGAAGTTAATCGAGATAAATAAGCCGGTGTTTCTTACCGGGGATACTGGTCAGCGATGTTTCTCTTCTTTTGAACAATTTGCTCGTGCCATCTATTCTAAAAGAATATCCATTTTTTTTTTTTTAGGAGTCGGCAAATCGGTGATAACGAAGGTCGTTTTAAACAACTTGGAAGACAGTCAACTCTGGTCGCCGATCAATCTGATCTTCTCCGCTCAAACGAGCAGCGGCAGAACGCAGGAAATTTTGGAACTGAAATTGGAAAGGAGGAAGAGGACGGTGTTGGGGGCACCTATCGGAAAACGGGTGTGCGTGTTCGTCGACGACGTCAACATGCCGAAATTAGACACATACGGATCCCAACCGCCGATCGAACTTTTGCGGTATGCTTCGCATTTACGTTATTCTTCTGTATTTCTTTTTAGAATAGGATTGTTCACGTGTAGCTGTTTGAATCTCTGCAGACAATTGCTAGATTTCCGCGGTATGTACGACAAAGAGAAGCTATTCTGGAAACGTGTAGAAGACGTTGTCTTCACTGTGGCTTGCGCTCCTCCTGGAGGCGGTAGAAACCCATTAACACCGAGATTCGTCAGGCACTTTGCTATGCTGCTCATCCCGGCTCCTATGGAACTCTCTTTGAAGCGAATTTTCAAGTAAAATCCACTTCCACCTCGATAAATCACATCACGTAATTATACCTTTGTGCTAAACGTAAAACCGATTCAACCAAATTGGTTGCAATTTTAGGACAATTGTAAGTGGATTTCTGGAAGATTTCGTGGAGCCTGTCAGGCAAGTCGGCGACAGGATAGTGAACGCGGCAGTCGATATTTATCAAAGGATCACGACTGATCTTCTGCCCACGCCAGAGAAAAGTCATTATATCTTTAATCTGCGCGATTTGTCGAAATGTGTGCAAGGTATCATGCAAGTCGATGCGGCGGGCATTAAA